ATGGGCCTCCCCGATCGCGCTGGTAAAGAAGAACAGTGGTAGTCTATGGTTGTGTATTGACTGTAGGCTGTTGAACACCGTAACTAAGAAGGAAGCATTCCTCTTATCCTACACAAACGATTCACTAGACGCCTTGCATGGGTCAAAGTGGTCCTCCAAACCAGCCTTTAAATCAGAATATTGGCAAGTGGAAGTGGCAGAAACGGACAGAGAAAAGAAAGCTTTTGTATTTCCAAACGGGCTTTACAAATTTAGAATATTCAGTTGCACGCTGGTACAAAGAACTACAGTAACATGCTCTAACAGTTGAATAAAGAAAAGGGTATGCTCACAGTAATGTGGATGTTCTATTTCGCCGACCAACTGCGACAGAAATGTGACGTTGTGGTGGGTACCATATTTTTGAGCAACCTTACCAAACACTATTGAGAAAATACGCGGAGTGCCGTTCCTGACATGGTTCTGATGTACAAGAAGTTCCTGACATCCTATTATAGGTTCACAGCGAAAGAGATGACTTCGTTCATTAAGGCGGCCAGACCGATTTGACAAGAATGGTCGAAACTCTCTCTAGAGGATGAGATTTTATGGTACCAAGAAGGCGTCGAATCTCCTATGCACCTAGTGGCCCCTGGCTCATTTGTACAAGCACTTCTTCAAAAGTTACACGAGCAACTCGGCCACGTGGGTGAAAAGACGATACTAGCTGCCTCAAGCAGACGATACTGATAGCTTTCGCTCACCTCAGGCATACTAGACTTCTGCTGAACCTGTACCACTTGCAGCGGCTTCAAAAGGCCTCATCCCACAACCATCGCACCGCCGCAAACTATGCCTACAGGCTTCCCAGGAGAAAAAGTAGGCATGGACATTATGGGTCCTCTACCGCCCACCAAGATGGGAAACCGATATATTCTGTTTACGGTAGACTACTTCACGAAAGTAACCGAGGTAGAACCCATGAAGTCACAAGGCGTTGGAAAGTTTGCCTCAGTTTTCCTCGATCGGTGGATTTGCCGACATGGAGTGCTTGAATTCGATCACAGTGATCGAGGCCCCAACTTCGAGAGCCGACTCCTCACCAAACTTTGTAAGGCTTTCCGGATCTCAAAGACACGCACGACACCTGGGCATCCACTAGGCAATGACCAGGTGGAAAGAACAGATCGTACTTCGATCGGACTACTGAAGGCCTTTATTAAAGATACCCAACCAGAAGACTAAACTTTAAGTCTTGGACGGCTCCTCCTTGTGTACATAGCTATAGTCCATACGTCAACGGGCTTTTCTTCGTTCAAGATGCTCACAGATTGTTAAATAAGAGCGCCTTCCGGCATCTTCCTGCCAAACACAGACTATGCAGCCAATGATGTGCCAGAGTACATACTGTGTTTTAAAGAACGGTATAAGAAAAGCATTTAATATCGTTCGTAAACACTTAAAAAAGTCATAGATTAGACAGAAAAAAATATTACGGTCGCCGCGGCCGAACGAAGGTCTTCCGAGAAAAAAATAGTGCAAATTTGCAACAAGGCGCCACCCTACAAGGGTACACCACCGGTTGTGCATGTGGATGAGGTTTACGCAATGACGGAAGACAGGGAACCGCCAAAATGGCGAAGTAGAAGCCAACCCATATGTTGTAGCGCAAGCAGTGGTGCTAAAAGGACGAGGAGGCTATGCAATACCCACGTTGTTTAAACTGATCTTTCAGAGAAGAGGCGGGTAGCCGCGTCGAACCTTGTGACTGGGGAGAACGAAAGGTCTCCCAAACCAAAGAACAGCCCTGTGTCCAAGTCTTCTCAAATTCGTATCTATCCGTCATTTACGCTAGCAAACAGGTGTACCAAAACTCATTCAATCTCTTCATTCTAGGGGTATGAAGGCCAAAGAAGAGACAAGCGAGGATCGTGTTACATCCGCAACTTCGGGGTAGACTTTGGGTGTTGCATAACTGTAAAAGGCAAGAAACTTGACTAAACATTAAAAATATGAATTTTATAAAAAAGTACAATTGGCACTTCTTGTTAGACCACTTGGAGAACAAAATATGCCAATGTAGTTTAATTTTATATTTACCTAACCATAATCATTCTTCACAAAATCAGTCTGTAATTGGCTAATCATTGACGAATGAGCAGCGTGTGGACCAGAGAGAAGTGCCATTTATGGTCCGCTGACACGCGGGGAAGAGTTTAAAATCTGTCTCTCTGAGATGATAAGTTTGTATGGCGGTCTTGGTTTCATTCCTTGTCGTGAAATGCTTCATGTTAGGACGACTTTTTCCGTTAGAATCCCAGCCAATGATATCTAAATACTTTAATTTTGTGTTTTAATATGAGGGCTCTGATCATACATCCTTTGATTGCTGCTTTTCTGCAAAGTAGTGTGAAAAACTTGTTATAACCAGAATAAAGTGTTCGGGCTCATCTGTGAGTTATTTTACATGCATCCACGTTAAATGGTCACTTTTGTGGTCTTTGTTTACAGCATTCACATCATCGTCTGAACACTTCAATTTTGGGAAGCGCTCCACCATGCATATTAGTGAATTTTTGGTCAATGGAAGGAGGCTGCAATGGAGTTAAGCACACACAACAGGATTTTCCGTAGAGAGTAGTTCGAGATTTTTTGGTACTTCTCTGCGATCTAAACCGCTTGGTGAACCGAACACTTTATTACACCATGTGCATTGCCCATGTATTTTGATCCTTCAAAAAGAAGTTCCACTTAGAAGCTCTATTCAGAGTTGTTCTTTGGTGTCGCTTTTATGGTGCAAGCTTTCATTGTTAATGTCTTGTGCATTAATTCCGTAGTCCATTGCTTGGTCTTATTATCCTTCATGTGACTCATTTAATTATTTTTTTTTAGAAGATACTGAGTTGAATGTCTGCTTCTGATCCCGTTGGTAGGGGGAGAGAAAGTGTAAGATTTAAAATATTTCTGCTAACTGTTCCGAAGGTATATGATGACTCTACAGAACCTGTGGAAGAGGTAATTGGGTTGGACTTATTCGAGGAAGATGGAACTGAAAATCAAATGGGTAATTTTCCCTTGAGTGACACCAGTGGTAGAAGTCCTATGGAGGAGTCTGATGTATGTATCGACTTATTAACTTCGTATATTCTAGATTTGCTCGATCTGTTTTGAATCCTGGACTACTTCAGGCCCGCATCGGATTTGTTGTCTTAAATGTGGTCATTTATTTGGTCGAAGTTGTGTTACAAAGTGGCTAATGTCCGCCCGTCCTAAGCCAGGTACCTGCCCTCAATGCAATGCCAAAGCTCATACCAAAGATATCAGGGTACTTTATTGCAAAAAAATTAAAGTGGGAGGAATTGTTTTATTAATTCAATGCTTTTACAGGCTATAGATACAACAGATAGGGATCGAGCGTTGGAAGATTTAGAGGTTGAAAGGAAACTTAGAAAAAAAGTTGAATTGGAGTTATCAGAGTACAAGTTCAAGCTTCAGCTAGCTTGCTCTGACGTGGAGAATTTGCGAGACGAATTAAACAGTCTGAGAGCTGTGATTTCCACTTCAAAGAATGCTCAATTGTCACCTAGTTCTTTATCTAAGAGGTAAGTTCTTCGTATTTCAATTTGGATAGTTGTATTTGTTTGGTGTATGTTGGTAGGTTGAGTTGCTTTGAACAGCATATTCTAGTTTGTAATTTTTTATTTTAGACCCAAACTCTCGGATTTATCTGTTGGTTCCTATAACATGGTCAAGACCTTGAATATCTCACCGGTCAGTTTTTGTTAATGCACATATCCTTAGTGTGTTCGTGAAGTTGAACATTGAATGTTGTAGGCTGGTCAATGTCGTGTGTCGGCGTCGTGTGACTACATTAATCTTCTCTGCGTGTCTCAGGCTTCGTCAAATCCACTGTTCAAGGGATTCGGCATTAAGAAGGCATTTTTTTTTTCATCTTTCTCTGATTAACTCTACGCAGTCCTTTCTTCCTCTTATATTGACTTTAGTTCTTCTTAGGTTCATACCAATGACCTGCGGCCCCTTAAGTTCATGCATCTTCATGCCCAGCCAATTCGTGACCTTGCTTTCCATCCAGAACAGCAGGATGCCATAGTCGCCTCCGCCAGCATGGATAAATCCCTCAAACTCACTAGTCTTCTCGTTGATCAAGTGCGTATAGTCTACTCCTCTGCATGTGTGCTGCGTAAGCAGTCGTTTACCTGTCCTGAACGTTCGCAACATATGCAAAACTCTAGACCTTTTCGAAGCTCTACCAAAACAATTTATGAATGGCTTTCGTTGAACAATCTCTTGACATCGGTGTTTTATTGTATGGACAATCTTGGTTTCGCTTAGTACATGGTAGTATAAATTACATGCACTCATCTTCACCCTCTCCATCTGCTCTCAACAGGTTGTACAGACATACCAGTGCTCATCACCCATTTGGAGTTGTTGTTGGGCCTTCCCAAGTCCCAATTATCTCTTCGCGGGTTGCGTCAACGGCTCCGTTTACCTCTTCGATATTCGCGTTACCTCTCGACCCGCCTCTGTGTTCGCCATTTCGGCTTCCTCCACAGCACCGGTCATCGCTCTTCAGTATATCTCACCAAATCCCAGTGATCCCACCTTTCAGTCGGGTGGTCTACTCACTGGGCAGTTGACACAAGTATACTGCGTCTTGTTACTGCTTTGTTATTTTATATTTCCGCCAAGTTCCGGATCAATTTAACTATATTCGTGTTTTGCTTCATCCTATTTGTGTCCGATATCAGAATTCAAATAACAAGCATTTGAAATGGTGGTGGTGCCTGAGTGTGTCCATGAAGAGTCAGACCGAGGGATAACTGTTTTCATCGTGGATCCCTGATATTTCTTTGTATTTTTTTCCGTAATTAACAATAGTTTATGTATATTCATCGTTTTACATGGTCACAGCTCAATTACTTCTGTTGTAGCTGATACATTATGTTGTAATAACTGTTGACAAGTGTATTTGCTCTGTTTTGCCACTGAAGTTGACGTTTTATGGTTATTAAACCGAACGTCGATTTTGTATTCCTTTATTACAATTAATTTGCATAAAGGAAAGACTTGTTGTCACACAGGCCTTGCAAGGCTATGCCTAACGGTCTAGATACTCAAAGCATCTGCTTGGTGATTGTCTCTCTAGAGCCGTGTTGACTTTCAATAACATGATTGCTCCCGTGCTACAATGATACAGGCGATTTTAATAACCCCATTGACAAACCTTATAAAATGCGATATAAACGGTTATGTGATTTTCCTATTTACTACATTAGCCAAAGTCTATCAGACATTGAATTTTTTAACCAAAGGCTGCAAAGTGTTTATTACAAAGTAGAACTTTTGAATTACGGAAAAAAGGGCCATTTAGTATGGTGCAAAGCCTGTGGACTGTTGCTTAAAGGTATCACAAGTGGATTGATAGCCTAGAGACAATGTTAATGGGTGTTGGTGGAAACAGCCTGTTGGAG